TTCTCACCTGGGACCATTATTTTTCATAATTTTTAGAAATGACTTTGTCACTAAGTTAACCTGCCTTTATCTCCAGTATGCCGATGATCTTAAAGTATTTAACAATGTAGAGAGCAGTAGTGACTGCGTTTCTTTGCAGAGGGATGCTACCACGATTGCGGAATGGTGCAATCAGAACTTCAAGTACCTACACGTCGATAAATGTTTTATTATGTCCTTTACTAACAAGCGACACAAAGTATATTTTGACTACGTTATCGACGGTGCATCACTTCGGAGAAAGTCGGTTGCTAAAGACTTGGGCGTGTACTTTGATGAGAAGCTTACTTTTAGGGACCATTATAATTTTCTAGTATCAAAAACTTGCAAAATGTTAGGATTTGTCACTAGAACTACTAAAGAATTTAAAAACCCCAAGACCCTTATTGCACTGTTTAATACCTTTATTAGAAGCACTCTTGAGTATGCCTGTGTCGTATGGTCACCTTTCTACGAGGTTCACTCTAAACGTTTGGAAGGCGTACAGAACAGAGCTCTCAAAATAGTCAGTTACAGATCACACATGAGTCGCAAAATTGTCGCGTTACGAAGAGAGGTTATCACATTTTAAGGTTATGTCCTTGAATTCTAGACGTAGGGTACAGGATCTTCTACGTTTACATAAATTACTTCACGGCAGCCTTAAATCTTTTTTTTTTTTTTTTTTTTTTTTTATAAAATATAGGTGCGCATTTGACCTCCATCTCACCTGATGGAAAGTGACGATGAGGTCGACGATGGAGCATGCACACCTAAATAATGCCTATTCACTCTCGCCTTGAAAAGGTCCAAGTTATAACGTTCAGGGAACAAGTCTGCAGGCAGGGAATTCCACTCCATAGCCGTTCGCCATATAAATGTGGAAGCGTAACGCTTCGTGCGAATCTTTGGAATATCCACAACATAGGGGTGGAACCCAAGCCTACGCCTAGTCCCCCGGTGATGGAAAGGGGAAGGCGGAATTAAATCATGTAATTCCATCGCACACTCTCCGTGATATATCCTGTAAAATACCGATAAGCAGGCAACTTTACGGCGGTGTTCAAGGCTCTGCAGCTTCGCCTCCACTAATTCCGAGTCACCTATAAGTCTCTTGGCACGGTTGTCAATTGAATCCAAAGTGGCCAGTTGATATGTCGCAGAGCCATCCCAAAGGTGGCAGCAGTACTCCATGCACGATCGGACTTGTGCCTGGTACAGCTGGAGCAACTGTCCCGGTGTAAAGTACCGCCTCACCCTGGAAAGGATCCCAAGCTTCCTTGCTGCATTTTTGGCCGTGGATTCAATGTATCTGCCGAAGTTCAAATTGGACGACAGGTCCATTCCAAGTAGCTGGAGACAATCGGCTATCGGTATGGATATATCACGAAAAGTCGGAGTCAGCTCAAAGGGACTCCGTTTTGTGGAGAATAGACACGCCTGCGTTTTGGTAGCGTTAAATTTGACAAGATTGGCATTGCCCCAATCGGAGACTGCCTGGAGTGTCAAATCTAAACGGCTAACCATGGACTCTCGACAAGACTGGATTTCCTCTCCACTGACC